TCTGTTTCTAACGCTTTAGCCAAACCTTGGCAAAAAGCTAGCGAAATTTCGCACCGTTTTTCCTTCTTTCCCATTCTCGAACCCTAGACGGCTAGACCTAAAATATCATAACTTTCACTAATTGCACACTACTCCTTAACTTTTTACAACATATCAACTTTAGTCATTTTTGTTTCCAAATTTGCCAATTACATTAAGTACCTAATACACGTTAATCACCTCACGGAGTAGAACGTCAATATACTTGGTCTTGTTAAAATCGAAGTGCGGGTCCCACTAAATTGGAACTCAATGTTGACCTATTTCACTAATTAATAAACAATTTCTACTAAAAATAGTATTACACGTAAACTCAACATTTTTCCTTATTTTTTAACAAAATACTATTCCAAAATGTATTTTTGGTTAACGATGGGACTCAAATAGACGCTAATTTTATAAACGTGTTAAACTATATTTGTTCCCATCAAACCATTATAGCCTGTTTGAGCACATATTTTTTATAAACGTGTTAAACTATTTTTGTTCCCATCAAACCATTATGGCCTGTTTGAGCACATATTTTTTTTTTTTGGGTAAAAATGCATTTTTAAATAGTAGATTGATGGAGAATGTGTGGTTAAAAATAAAGAAAAAGTCTTGAGTTTGCATGTAATATTGTTTTTATTGAAAAATATGTGGTTGAAAAGAAAAGAAAGAAAAATGTATTTTGGAAATAATGAGGATCAAATAAAGACTTAATTTGCTTAGTGCCTGTTTGGTATATATTTTTAGCAAATAAAATTGATAAAAATTGACAGAGTTTCATAAGTTGTGTGGTTAAAGAGTAAATAAAAATTATGGAATCAAGTATATTGTTAAAAATGAAGTTTTATAAACAAAAAATAAATTTACCGAACAAGCTGTTAGTACCATAACTCATAGACGTGTTATAAAATTAGAGTAATGCTATTAACGGTTTGTTATTTGATGCATAAAGTAATAAAAAATCTATTACATTAATACATTAAATAACAAACTGTCAAATTTATATCACGTAATGCAATTATCAATAGTTCTCACTGTGAATAGCATTATTCATAAAATTTTATTATACTATTTTGTAGTGTTCGATGTTGCTCTATGTCTGTACCGAACGTGTCATAAAAATATTTTTTTTTATTTTTCAACTACAATCCATAGGCATAAACATGAAAATGACAGACAACTACTGGTGGGCTAACGTTACCCAAAAAAAAAAGACCTACTGGTCTTATCCATACATCTCTTTCATTAGTATGCCACCCTTTTTCTTCCACTCTATGGCTAATGTGTAAAAGAAGTCAAAATGTCTACTCTTACCACAATTTTCTGTCGCACAGCTTATTTAATTATTTTTATTTATGTAAAGACTAACATTCTTTAACATAATTCGAGTAGTCTTCCTAATTATTCGAAAGTCATGAATTACGGTTCACAATTTGTCGGGCCCATCTCACATTGTATCTCTCCGACTCATTCAAATCAACGTGAAATTGTATTCCTTTTACTTAAAAAGTTAAATTTTACGTATTACAAGCACAAGATAGAGGTATTTAAAAAGACAAGAAATAGTACGACTAAATATTGTCCTAACTATGTTATGGTAATTGACTTTTTAGTTTAGTTAGGATGTCTATTTTCAACTTTAATTACACTATCTAACTTAATACATGAAAGCAACATTTGAGTTAAATCACAAACCGTTACGACATTAACTATATTTTAAAGGCACAAGGTTAAGATGGCGTCATTGCACATGTCACAAATTGAGTTTATGTTACTAAACGCTTCTCACTAAAAATAAATATATTCCACTCGTGAAGTAGAACACACTAGATCAAATAAATTTGGTGTTCGATTTTCAGGACCCACTAAAAATTACTATATCGATAGTTATCGTTATTTGATCATTCATGCATCTTAAAATTCTTGTCGCAAAACATTTATATTTATGAATATTATGAGTTAATTTAAAATCGTCGTGCAAAACTTACATTCTATCATAATAAGCATCTTCTAACACGTAGAATGCCCTCAAGTTTTATGTGCTACATTAATCCTATCGCCAATAGATAAATAATAAAATCGGCGATAACGAAACAAATCTCCGGTGAACTAAGAGGAGTTGTTACCAACAAGAGTAACTTCTTTATAAAACTAATAATAATGTAAATAACTCATCACATGTCATATTAAGTTCCAAATAAAATGTTGCTTGTACATAAACAATTATATAATGATTTATATATATATGATGTGTCAAAAAGAGAGTGAAATTTTTTTATTATTCGATTGAAAATATTCTGGCCCAATTATATTTTATCGCATCATGTGTATATATAAACATATTATGTAAATGTAGCACAATCAAATTCCAAAACCGACACCGTTATGCCAACCAAAGTCCTAAACGTTAAAATTCCGAGTCATGCTACTTGTATAACCAAGGTTGAAAACCATTCACATGGAAAGGTTCACTTTTTTTTTTTATTTGAATTTTTTAAACATGTGGACCCCGCACATACGTAAGAAGTTGTCAACCGAGGTTGTACAAATAAAATTTTCCTAAATTTCTGCTAAAAATATTGAAAAATACGTCATTAAAACGACATAATCTTATTCGAAAGTCATGAATTACGGTTGACAATTTGTCGGGCCCATCTCACATTGTATCTCTCCGACTCATTCAAATCAACGTGAAATTGTATTCCTTTTACTTAAAAAGTTAAATTTTACGTATTACAAGCACAAGATAGAGGTATTTAAAAAGAAAAGAAATAGTACGACTAAATATTGTCCTAACTATGTTTAATTGACTTTTTAGTTTAGTTAGGATGTCTATTTTCAACTTTAATTACACTATCTAACTTAATACATGAAAGCAACATTTGAGTTAAATCACAAACCGTTATGACATTAACTATATTTTAAAGGCACAAGGTTAAGATGGCGTCATTGCACAAGTCACAAATTGAGTTTATGTTACTAAACGCTTCTCACTAAAAATAAATATATTCCACTCGTGAAGTAAAACACACTAGATCAAATAAATTTGGTGTTCGACTTTCAGGACCCACTAAAAATTACTATATCGATAGTTATCGTTATTTGATCATTCATGCATCTTAAAATTCTTGTCGCAAAACATTTATATTTATGAATATTATGAGTTAATTCAAAATCGTCGTGCAAAACTTACATTCTATCATAATAAGCATCTTCTAACACGTAGAATGCCCTCAAGTTTTCTGTGCTACATTAATCCTATCGTCAATAGATAAATAATAAAATCGGCGATAACGAAACAAATCTCAGGTGAACTAAGACGAGTTGTTACCAACAAGAGTAACTTCCTTTATAAAACTAATAATAATGTAAATAACTCATCACATGTCATATTAAGTTCCAAATAAAATGTTGCCTGTACATAAACAGTTATATAATGATTTACATATATATGATGTGTCAAAAAGAGAGTGAAAATTTTTTATTATTCGATTGAAAATATTCTGGCCCAATTATATTTTATCGCATCATGTGTATATAAACATATTATGTAAATGTAGCACAATCAAATTCCAAAACCGACACCGTTATGCCAACCAAAGTCCCAAACGTTAAAATTCCGAGTCATGCTACTTGTATAACCAAGGTTGAAAACCATTCACATGGAAATGTCCACCTTTTTTTTTTTGAATTTTTTAAACATGTGGACCTCGCACATATGTAAGAGGTTGTCAACCGAGATTGTACAAATAAAATTTTCCTAAATTTCTGCTAAAAATATTGAAAAATACGTCATTAAAACGACATAATCTGTGATTTAAAAAAAGATAATCAATCACGTGTTATAATATCCGAGAGCATAAACGAATGTGTTTACATCGGCCACACCGAGTAGTGGGCGCACTATAATTTATCTTGAATTGCTCGTCGTTATCTTACGCTAGTGGTGAGCCGGTTATAAACCTGCACACCTTCGTTCCTCCTTTTTCCTCGACCCCTCTCCTCAAATTTAAAGTAAAGATAATTTTCTCTCTCTCTCACTCACAAAAAAAAAACACGCACAAATTATGTATACATGTTTCTCTTTCTGAGTGCAATTATTGGGATCTTGACGGCAAAATGTTGATTAGAAATTCAAACATTGTACTTCGTTCTTGGATCAGAAGGTGAGTATTCACAAAAAAAAAAAAAAAACACGCACAAATTATGTATACATGTTTCTCTTTCTGAGTGCAATTATTGGGATCTTGACGGCAAAATGTTGATTAGAAATTCAAACATTGTACTTCGTTCTTGGATCAGAAGGTGAGTATGAGTTTTTAATCGGCGTAGTTTCACTCTTTCACTTGTGAGTTGATTTTTGGGAAATCTGCGCACGGTTTTGGTCTGTTTGGTTTCTCTGAGAAAAATGTTAGTGAAACTGAAAAATTTTCCTAATTCGAAAGATATTTATCTTTTTACAAACTTGAAATTGCTTCTTTTTTTTTTTCCTCTCTAGTTTTTAATAATTTGTAATTCTCTCTTATTTTAGGTAGAATATTCTTTTTGAGGCTCTTTCATTGATCAAAACAAGAAGAAAAAGTTAATTTGTTTAGAGTTTCTTTCCCTTTTTATTGAGTACTTGTAAGCTCTCTTTTTCTTATTTTTACGCAAATACTTTTATGAATCTTAATAAACAGAATAGAAAATCTTCTGAGAATAATGTTACTTCTGGTAGCCTAATTCAACGGTTCAAAAATCAATTTTTTGGGTTGAAATCATGCTCCCAGACATGCTCTATTATTCGACTGAGGAGTTTTTCTGCAATTTTCGACGGCAGCAGCATAAAATGATTTGGTTATTATGGATTTTTCTACAACGATTTTGAGGGGAATTTTTTGGTGTTTCAAATTTTCTATGTAATTTTAGCTTCAACTCTGATTTCTTAAACAGGATCTGTGAAATCAACTGAGATTTTGGTGTAAATAGATAATATGGGGGGTGTGCTGACAGAGTCATGGTTCAGTAATATATGGAGAAGTTCGAGAAAGAGCATGGCACTGGAACCTGAAAAGCTTGTGATAGGAATTTTAGCCTTTGAAGTCTCAAGATTGATGTCAAAGGTGGTTTATTTGTGGCAATGTGTAGATGATAGGCAAATTGTTAGATTCAGAGAAGAGGTCGTAAACTCACTTGGTATTCAAAAGCTCGTTTCTGATGACAATGAGTATCTCATGGATCTTGCTCTTGCTGAGACATTAGAGAATTTGGGAAGTGTGGCAAAATCGGTGGCTATACTGGGGAAGAAGTGTGCCGATCCTACATATCACAATCTTGAGCGTGTTTTTGAAAACCCAGTTGAGATTAATCTCAAATGGAGTGGTTGGCAATATAAGCTGAAGAAGATGGAGACGAAGGTTAAGAAAATGGAAAGGTTTTTTGGCTCCACTGAGCAGTTGTTTCAAGAGCTTGAAGTGTTGGCAGAGCTTGAGCAGAGTCTGAGGCGGATGCAGGCTGGTGCTGGTTTAAGCCAGGTGAAATTGCTCGAGTTTCAGCAGAAGGTCATGTGGCAACGTCAGGAAGTGAAGAATCTGCGGGAGATGTCTCCTTGGGTTAGATCGTATGACTACATCGTCCGCCTTTTGCTTCGATCCATTTTTACGATTATCGAGAGGATCAAACATGTATATGGGATAAACAATATAGAAAATGTAGAAGCAATTAATCATTATGAGTGCTTCCCTGATGATTGTCTTACTCGTAATAATTCCATCTCTGCTATTTTACAATTACCACTTTCTCCATCTGAAAACCGCCTGTCTAGATTTCCAGGTCCTTTTGGAAGGTCATTTTCAAATCTGGGTCTGAACCGTGATAAGAATAGATCTAGGAACAAGAAGTTGCACACCCGCTCACTTTCTTCTCTCGGTTGTGGAAAACCACAACAAACAAAATCAAGACGTTTTGATCCCGTTGGACCTTTCAAAGGATGCATGACTGGTGAAAGTGATTCACCTGTTGTACAGAGCTACACACCATCGAGCAGTGGCTCTTTGAGATCAAATTGTGCTTCTCAGAGATATGCTGATGAAATGAAAGACACCAATGCAGTTCCTATTGTACACAGTAGCATAACATCAAGTAAAGTATCGTTCTTCAATTACAAGCGGCAGCTGTTAAATCCCCCTCCTTCTACTCTAGGTTATGCTGCTTTAGCTCTCCATTATGCAAATATCATCATATTAATAGAGAAACTTGCTTCATCTCCTCACTTAATCAGCCTTGATGCTAGAGATGACCTTTATAATATGTTGCCTGCAAGTATCCGAAGCTGTCTTAGGGCAAAGTTAAAGGTATTTTCCAAATCTTTGGCTTCATGTGTTTATGATGCTGCCTTTGCAGCAAACTGGAGCTTCGCAGTTTCTAGAATACTCGAATGGTTGTCTCCACTTGCTCACAGCATGATAACATGGCATTCTGAGAGAAACTTTGAGAGGCAGCAAATGGTTTCCAGGACAAATGTGCTCCTTGTCCAAACCCTTTACTTTGCAAATCAAGAAGAGACTGAAGCAGCAATTGTGGAACTTCTCATGGGCCTAAATTACCTCTCAAGATTTGCTCAGGAAATTACTGAGAAGCCCTTCCGAGAGTCTTCATGCAGCAGAGGATGTGATGGTAATATGTTCCCCAGTGATACTATTATTGCAACATGATTCATCCTGCATCATAAGCAAGGCGTAACAAACCAATGGCAGGATTCATAGAGTTCTTTTGCTTCTTAATCAAACTGGCACTCCTGAAGTCAAAGGTACTATTTTAAGTACTCAAATGAATCTCATTGCTGCTTTTAAGTACTCGAGACATGTGTCTCCTCGCGCTACACCATGGAGATATACTGATTTAGTTCGCATCAGAAAGTAGCTTAAATATTTCAGCATTCTCGTGTGGAAAGCTTAGTTTGAGCCGTTGTGATTTCACTCGTCCATTAGAAGTCATATTCCATTTGGTAATGAACATTTCCTTGTCACAACCATTCTTTAGCTTATCTGTGGAAATGTATGTTATGATTGCAAATACATATAATCAAGTTGTATTTCAAATTTGTTTTCATTTGCAGTGTATGCAAATGTGAAGCAGTCTGCATTTTAGTGAACCTGTATAGCTAATGAGTCTCTCTCCATATATCATTTGTGCTATTTACATTGAGTTTCAATGGTGAAGATAAAGTTCTTCTGCAATTGATTGTTTGGTTTTCTGACGCCCCTTTTATTGTGTGTAACTTTAGGTTTGTGCAGGACTTCCCCTTTTCTTTCAGATTATCATTTTTAATGTTTGAGGCATTAAATTAGATAGTCAACTCTTTACCGAGGTAAAGAGGATGTAGAAAACTTGGTTGTGCGTCTTTTAAGCGGTTTCTTCGACAAAAGTAGTCAAAATGTTACTTACTGTGGCAGTATGAACTTTGTAGAAGAAACCAGAAGCACAGCCTGCACTCGTAAGAAGTCATTAAAGAGATCTGCTAGGTATAGTTCAGTCTAAGTGTCGATTAAGGCATTTTACTGGAGCTGATTTGAAGTTGCTTACAACTACAAAGTACATTTCTTGAAGTGGAGGAAGGGGTGGATTGTTCAATACTGATGGCTAACGAGGATTTAGTTAATTGTCTTATAGCGTATGAGCTTGTGAATAACAGTATGTTTCACGTGAAATGAGGACCTTTTGATAGGACTTTTGCTTTTGCTCCAGTTTCTTGTAGAATTTTTTTTTGTCTAAAAAGTTAGGGAAAATTGGAGTAACGGTACCAAAAATTTCACTACTTGATCCAAACCTTTAGTTTGTAGCACTTACGGTACCAAATCTTTCAAAAACTCGCATATAGAGTCCAATGCATGAAAATTGTTAGATTGACCGTTAGTTGACCAATTTTGAAAGGGCAAAAGGGTAATTTTATATTTTACATATAAAAAAACTAAAATAAAATAATTAAATAAAAAAAAGGAGAAAACACTTTTCATCTTCCGCCCGCCCCAAAATCAAAAATGAAAAACCACCTACACCACCAAAACCCCATCCACCAAGCATCACCGCCACCAAAAGATTCAATTACCTCAACTTCGGTATTTGATTGAAACTCGACAAAGTCTATTATGAGGAACACAATCACTAGGAGCAGATTTAAGCAACTTCTAAATATCCTCCCAATCATTTCTACCAAATTCCGATTCACTTTTCACCATCCAAAGAGTTAAATTCAATCCAAATCAATCACATTTGCCCAACACGAGCTAACAATATTTTGCAATTTTCTTCTTCTGTCGTCTCAACCATTCTTCTGGTATGTTAATCAAATAAATAACATGAAAAATTAATAAATAAGGGCTTCATTACTTCGAGAAAAAAAAACGTGCATTGAGGTGGGGGAAATAATTACTACAGATGTCGAAGGAGATTGAGGTGGCTGAAGGAGGTGGCAGAACGAGATAAGGGAGTGGGAGAGTGATGATTGATGAGAGTAAAATGGCGAAATTCCGACTGGAAATTGGGTGGTGTTTGGGAGAGGCTGTGGTGCTATTGTGGGTATAGTGGTTTGATTTTTGATTTTGAGTGGGTGGGAGTGTGGGAAGAAGATGAACAACGTTTTCATATATATATATATATATATACACTAGTGTGGATCGTGCGTTGCATGATAACCGTTATTACTTTTGTAATTCCACAATTGAATAATGGCAAAAATAACATTAAATTGTTTCAAGTAATGAATATTCAGGCACCCTTTAAATTACACCATTTAAATATCCACTCCATTTACAAAAATTGATCCCCTTTTATTGACGAATTTCATCCTTCTGACAAAATAGAAACAAGAACAAGCTTCTATACCTAAAAAAGAATTTAATATGATAACCGTTATTACTTTTGTAATTCCACAATTGAATAATGGCAAAAATAACAATAAATTGTTTCAAGTAATGAATATTCAGGCACCCTTTAAATTACACCATTTAAATATCCACTCCATTTACAAAAATTGATCCCCTTTTATTGACGAATTTCATCCTTCTGACAAAATAGAAACAAGAACAAGCTTCTATACCTAAAAAAGAATTTAACCTTCAACTAAAGCTTATCTTTAAAGCGCCCTAAACAAATAAATGATAAAAATATAACTTTAATAAACAATAGTTTCTCTTATCCTTTCCTCCTTTTTCTATTCTAAATGCTAAATTTGTTACTTAAAAAAACTAACAATGATAAGACTACATAATTAGAAAGAACAGATCTATATGAAAAAGTATACCCTTTCCGATTCAAGACAACAATTTTTTTTCTTTTGCTTGTTTGAGGAAAAAAAACTGAAAATCAAGAAGATCGATCAGAGCTAAAGATTAATCACGAATTCAAAAACCCAACAAGCATTATTGCCTAAAAACCCAGAATCACTAATTATTCCAACAAAGTAACATAAAAATGAATAAAACTTCGAACCCAGCAGATGAAAATCGAAACAACTATTAATTGTTCCTTGATAAATTTTCCTTGAATCAACGGTAGAATTCAACAAGTCCAGCTCTGAATTATAATTTTCTATTCAACAGAAACAGATAAAGATCGAAGGAAACGAAAAGAGGGCTGCTTCGACATGGAGAATGAATGACAGATGCAATAATAACTCGGAAAAGTAGAGAATAAAGAGAGAATTCAGTCATACATTACTTCACTTTATTGATGATACGATATAATGTTTTAAATAGATTATATATATAATATATTACTTTAAAAGCATGAAAATAAACAGAAATTATGGAGAATTAAAAGTCATACATTACTTCACTTTATTTACAAAATATGAATATAGTCATCCCAGTTCAAGACAAAACTCTAGCTTCAAAAACTGAGTTGAAATTCATTGTATGTACCAATACTTCTATATGGTACCATAAATCAAAGTTCATTAGCCAAATTGAGTTCCAAAAAGAAATATTTTATTCTCAAAAAAGTTTGCTGCTACTTTAATTCACAAATGATTTCAGCAGTTGTCTTCAACAAAACCAACATGATTTTATAATTTGAACTGGTGGAATTCTAGCACATTTACTTTCGGGTTGGATCCACAATGATGCCAGGGGGATCTCCAATAATTTTTTCAACAATTTGTTTGCTAGATGCTATCATCTTTTGTTTCTTTAGTTGCTCAATGTTTTCTTTTCCAAAAACCAAATTTCTTCGAGCATTAGGTACATTGGTGTGAATTGAGACATTTTTCTTCTTCGGTTCATATGGAGACATCATTGGAGATCCATTTGTAGGCCCATAGTTGTTATCAAGAATGTATACGATATCAAACCTTGGTTGGTTCGTTATGGGATTCAGGGTTCCATATTTTATATAAATGAAATGGTCTTCACTTACATAATTCAAATCACGAGCATTGATGACATGTTCTGACTGTATAAAAATTAATGAAGATACTATCAATATATTTAAGTAGGAAATATTAGAAAATGTAATAGATCATAAGGAATACTTTACTGTTATACAATCATTTATCAAAGTTTCAGCTAGTAGTTGTAAGAATTTTTCAACCAATTCACCAAATAATGATGCAGAAATAGATCCGGTATTATTTACAATATGAACATTGCATCTTGCACTGGGAATAAAAAAAACAAAATAAATGTCATAGACATTTTAAATTTGCTATTAGTTACATTATATACATAATTATTATTTTGGGTAGATGGTATTACGGTAGGAGTTATTACCTTGGAACTGCTCTTGCATGCATGTATTTGCAATAATTGTAAAAATACATTTCATTGAATTGAGCAAATGACATCCAACCACAAGTGTTACAAGCTAAATACCAAAGTGATTGAGCTCATGCCTTCAATTCTAATTGACCTTTTATCCAGAATGGTTTGCGCTGCAATACGTAGAACGAATGTTAGATTTGTTTTCGAACGTAAATAGCTATGTGGTAGATAATGGAAGAAATTTTAAAGAAAATAAGTAATGGTTTTACTTTTACTTGTAGCAGTTAACATACCATCTATGAGTATTCTGAAATGTCTTTGATGTTAATAATTTTGTTCTTTGGAGGGGGTGAAATACTGGACGTGTTCAGTAAATCATACGTCTTTTGAGCGATCATTTCTGTCAGTACATCTTTGTTTCTTTCAATCCTTGTATAGTATCAAAATGAAGTTAAAAAATAAACAAAAAATGTAAAATAATACGAGAATGAAGTTAGTTTTTCAGTGGAAAGCAGCGTATGGAAAGTGAATGAAGAGTGAACTGGCTATTCTTTCATTTCAGCAAGGTTTTCAAACTTTGGATTAATGAGGATCGAACTGTTTGCTTCGGTCGATAATGACACCCATATTATGAAGGGTTCAGACATGTAATGAAGTTAGATTTTCTTAACAACAGAAGCTTATAAAAATGATGATTAAATTGAGACTTTGTTTACCTTTGAATGATGTGACTTTCAAATGGTTGCCAACGATCATTGATTTTTTATAAGGCAGTCACTAATTTCAACGCCTTCAAAGTAGATAAAGTTGTCCCATATAGTTAGAATAATTGCTTGCAATCTACAAATGAGGATGTCAAATTTCAGATTAATTGGTATAATAGATAAATTATTGTTTTGTGCGTGAAGATTTATACTTATCTATACAAAACTTTCGTTCACAAGTACAATGTCTTG